GCGTGGTGCCAGCGAAACTTCTCTTCAAGCGGTGCCAGAAATCGTCCCGAAAGCGTTTACCTGAGCGTCAAGGAGGGTTGAGAATCGGTGGATACATCATTTGTTAAGTACTTTGCGAGCTGTCCCCTACACGTCACAGATTATCCATTTGAGGCCTCAACCCACAGTTAGTTAAAGTGGAAAGTGAAAGTTCCCTCCCAATGGCAGATTGCACAGCATGAGTTGTCTGGTTCACTCACGCATAAGGTGGAGAGAAGGAGCGGGGAAGGCCTTAAAGTCTTGACACACACGCGCACACAAGCACCGAGCAAGGTGAACATGAGAGGTTTCATGACACCCTCCATATCTACCTGCCTAGCTGACTAGCTGGCTAACCAACTGAAGGTGTGTGTTTGTGTGACGCCAAAGCTTGTCGCCGTAGGGGCGTTTTTTAATTGTTTGCCATAATGCTAGCGGTTTTGATAAGCCTTTGTTGCAGCTAGATCCACATCTCCCAAAAAAGCATGACATCGATGACGACGAGGAAATCGGTGGCGCTAACTAATGCACTTTTCATAATTGCCGAACCCCCTCCTCCACCCCTCCCACCTTCCTTCCTAGAGCCTCCTCCCGCCTGGGCACTGTGGTATTTTCCCGTCTAGACGCCTCGATTACTTACCTGGTTGTCGCATTGGGTACTGACTGGGCAAATTCCACTCTAGGCGAAACGTTCAATTTTCCTCTCCCCTTGGACCGATGTAATACGACACGGAGGCGAATAAGGTGAGCTATCCGTAAAGACGGTAGGAAGCTCAACACACTCCCAGCTCAGGCCAAATACCAACAACTTCATATCGCCTTCAATGCAGAGTGATCGCATTCCACCCTATCTAAACCACTTCGATTGGCCTTGACCCTGTTTTTACCCTAAAACTGACCAATCAGGGGGACCGAACGAGATCGTTGGTTTTGACGAGACGTTGTAGAAGGACTGGCAATTGGGCATGAAAAACGTTAACTTCTGGTGATTTAACACGTTTTGGAGTGGTAACGCGAAGGGGGGCTGACAAACCAGGAGGTTTCTCATGCCATGCATTCAGCTACCCTATAAATTCTCCTGCGTGACCAAGACGAAGGCAATTTTAGGATCATACCGTCTTTGGAGGAATTGGTCTCTCCTTCCCCCTAAAGAGTCTAAAAAACCGAATTTTCGATCTTGTCATCTCCATTTCTTTCTCATTTTTCCCCTCTAAAGAACTATTCCCTTTAGCCTCTGTGTATCGACCAGCAAGTGTGGACAAGGGGATGAGTTGAGTCAATGTCTCCACTCCTGCCTCTTACTCATCAGAATGATGACTTTTCTTCGAGGGTCTTGTCAGATGCTCACCTCCCGTTGACTCCTTACACGCCTTAACTGACCTTAGTATCAGGCCTTCAACCAATGACCACTTCATCGTAAATGCTTCTGTCGGCGCACACACACACAGCGCATGCATAGCTTTTTAGAGGTGACAAGATGCCTGTTTTTATCATCAACTTCCATCAAACATGCTTAAAAGCTATTTTTGAAGCAAGAAGGGGGTCATCTTCCAGCAATTTATCCCCACTTTTGGAAGTAGCCGGTAAAAGTAGATAAGCCCGAATCCAATCCATTAGGCCAATTCGATGAGAAACGAGGCTTTCAGATGAGGGGTAGGATTATACCGATAGACTGATGAGTATTTCTAGGAGCTCCTCTCTCCAAACATTGGATGGTTAGACCTTCTGCCAAGTCCCCCTTGCTCTGACTGGTCAATTAGTCAATAGCCAATTAAAACGCTAGGATGGGATCAACTCGGGGTATTCAAAACCCCGGTCCCAGATACCCAGAGTTCCGGCTGTACACACATTTTCGACTTTTAATAGCCTTGCTTTTTTTACATTACATTACATCTGTGATCATTCGGAATGCCGTTGCTTAAGAAATTCGCGGAGTTATTGGCCTCTTCCACATGTGTGTGCTCTCTCTTCTCTATTAGTGGTAG